TGAGTTGGTGCCAACAGACTGGCATAAGGCTGTGTGAGAGGTGAAGAGCTGCTGTGCTGTGCTGCAGCTGGATGGACTCAGTGGCATCTCCTCAGGTATGTCAGAGAGACACAACCCTGATGATGGAACAGAAAGATCACTGTAGACCTGACTGTACTTCCCATTACAGCTTGACTTGCTAAACCATTCTCCAGACACATAAAACACTAATCCATAAAGAACTAGGCAGAGAAGACCTCAAACATCCCACACACTTCCTTTAGTAGTTCACACAGTGAGAGCATCTATTTTTGTCTTTGAGACCCTGAACTTCAAAGTTGTCAAGACACTATGGGGAGATTTATATTTACCCAACTTTGGGCATTTGACTCACTAAGAGCACTTAGATGGTGGTTCCACAGCACCATGAGTTGATCTAACACTTGACTCCTAGCAAAAGGGACAAGTCTCATCCCTACCCACAGACTCCTCTCTACTGCCAGCTATGCAGCTACTTCTGCTATGTCTGATACTCACTTGGCTGTGAACCTGTTAGCTCACAAATCAAGTGGGAACTAATTTTCCCTGGGCTAAGGAAGAAGAGAAGAAAAGAAGGAACTGGCAAGACTGAGGAAGGAGGAAAGGAGGGAAGAGAAGACAGGAAGATCTCTCTGTGTCAGTGAATATTTATATTTATTATAGATTGGAAGCCTCACTTTAAATGCACAAGGTCAAAGAACTATATTCAAAAAAAATCCCCAAATATTTTACTCAGTCCTTCATTCATGGGGTATGTAACACTAATAAGAACAAAATGTCTTGCATAATATTATACTAAGTAAAATAAATTATAAACAACTTTTCAATTATTTACATTTTTATTGCCCATAAAACCTTCTTTTACTTTCACTTGCCTTCACTTTGGGTGGTGCTTTCCCAATATACCTGTCCCCCTCCTCCTCTTCACCTGAAATAACCTTCAAACACTGAGCCTTAAAAATATCTCCAGTTATTCATCCTACTTCTACCCATGACTTTGATGAATATTCTCCTGCATGCTACAAGGAATAACACAGATCTCCCAGACCTACCACAGACAAACCACACTCAAAAGCCTTCCCAAAAAGGGATCACAAAGATGTTGCTATATTTTGAAAGGAATGTAAATACCTAAAGAAGAGCCAAGGTTGAGCTCATGCAAGCATCAGTGTCAACCTATAGTGATCATCTTCACATAAATCTCCCTGTTTCTGAAATGTGCAGTTAGATCACACCCCAAAACCTAGTGCACATTTATGACTGAAAAGACAGTGGTAGTTTTTTTCAGTTTTAATCATTTTAAAGGTGCTACACAAGACAAGGATGATTGCTAATTTGTTCCATTGTTATCATTTTTACATCAGCATTAATTATCTGCCTTTTCCCTGCACTGCACTCAAGACTTCTTCCATTTATTTGTGCAGGAACATCAAAGATAGCCTCAAGAGATCTACAGAATTTCAATGCTTTTCTTCTCTATGTAAACAAGCTGCTCTAATTAGTTTAATATGTGATACAGAATCCATCAGCAATCAGCATCTTTCATGAAAATCTGCTGCAAAAGAGCTGCAAAATCTAGTGGCAAGAAAATAACCAGAGAATATTGAAATGCTACCTCATACATCTCAACATAGGGTAGGAACACAGGCACTGACAAGGAAATTTATCAGCTAAAAACAGAAGAGGATTGCTTTGTTTCTCCAACTTCTGCTATAGCTGCTTTTCAGCACTTAATTTGAAACCTAATTATTGTTGATGGAGATTGGGAAGCCAGCATATTAAGGCACCTAAAATTAGCATCCCTTCAGAAGTCTGAAGAAATAGCATTGCCTTTTCTCTTGGTGTGCAGGGCTCCATGTTTTAAGCTCCCTCACGTTTCCAAATTCCACTTCTGTCAGAAGCAATGTCTCCTCACCTAAAATGACTACAACCATCCCTCTGAACAAGTCAAGGACCAGGCTGGTCCAGCTGGGCACTAGATTTATATCTAAGCATGGCTTAGACACATCAGCAAGAAAATTAACTGTATGTTAGTGTGAAGAAAACAAAAAACTAAGACTCAGCAATGGATGAATTCAGGTCTCAGACCTGCTATAGACAATTTTAAGTCATACTGAGGTTTGCACTAACTCACACGTCCTGAGGGGTCACTGCTTCTCTTCTGAGACCTCTCTGTCCTTTCTGCTCCTGTATCTCCTTCCATTCTCCTCCAGCCTTTGCCACAGCTCTGCTGCTGTCAGGGTGACTCCCAGCACCCTGCTGAGAGCTCCTGCAGGCAGCACTGCCAGACTGGAACTGTTCAAAGCCCTGACAGTTACAGGGTGCCCTCTCACCTCCCCATCACTCCTGCAGGCAGTGCAGTTTCAGCATGCTCATTTTCAGCTTTGTGAGCAGCACAGCTTGATGAGGCTGGCGTTGGAAAGACGTGTGAGAGGAAACTGTGAGGCAGTGCTTGCTTCATCCATCAGGTTAGCTAAAACTACACCCATGCTGTCTCATCAACATTGCACATTAAGGAGTGCTTCATTTCTGGGTGCCAGCTCTTGTCACCTCCACGTTTCTCTGAGGAGAAACCTTTTACAGCAGTCCCTCAGCACCACTTGCTGCTCTCAGCTCTGCTCTGCTGCCATGAATGCCCTCCTCACCCAGCCTTCCCCAGCTCTGCATGCCACTTGGCATCTCATTTTCTCCTTGGAAATACTCTGTGCTGTAAGGTGAGGGTGTGGCAAACAAGCAAAGCCACTTCACCACAATCAATTCCATTTGATTTGGGCAATATTGTGTTTTCCACCCATGCAGCTGGACTAAGTGCACCTTTGGAATGAAACAACTTACAGCTAAACTCTGTTCTTTGATCCATGACTTGCTTTGCAGGGGGCAAGAGAGACAAAAAGGGACAGCAACACATTATTCTTCCATTTCTGCTGTTTGCCAGCTAGAAACATCCCAAATCAGTGCAAATCTTTACTCAAAGGGAAATTGTGTTCTGCTAGTGTTGAGTCCTGCACAGCAGAGCCAAGAACAAATGTTAAGAGCTGAAGTGAGATCATGCTCTTCAGTGAGGCAGAGCCTGCTCCTGCAAGCAGCAGTTCCTTTGAATTAAGGCTTACACCTTGGTCAGCACATTGAACTCCCTGGGATGCCAAGAATGAGGTCAAAGAGGTGCAACATTATTAATGTTGTGTTTTAAGAACAAACCATTGTCCATTCTGCCTGACTGTGCTTTCATTCCTTCCCCCAACCCCGTGCTCACATTTATTGAGTGCTGAAGGTTTGCTGTAGTAGTTCTGCTCATCATTCCAGACTTCATATTGCACTTAGCATTTCATCAGCCATCAATAAATCTGGACTTACAGAGGGTAGGCCACCAGGAAACAAAACTTCAAGCTAAGAAGAAATAGATTGACAGAGAAAAGGTCAATTGAAAATATTTTGCTCTTTAGTGTAATTGAAGCTACATTCATTTCCAATTTAACAAAATAAAAAAATGAAGTATTGAGTCATTACAAGGGCCAGACAATTGTCAGAGCTACACAGGGTTAAACTCAAATTCTCCTGCATAACTGCTCAAAGGAAGAGCAGTTAAACCAGAAGGAATTGAGTAAACAAAACATTTTTTTTACACCTTATGTATTTTTCAGCCATTTTACTGTCTGCTAAGGGCAGAAGTGACAGAAAACTAAGAGGCAGATTAGAGGAAAACTGAAAGATGAAGCAATCTTAAAATGCTATGCCTGTTAACAAAGTAGCAGGAAGGCTGTGGAAGACAAAGGTATTTTTACCTGCCCACCACTGAATCTGCAACTTGGAACCTGCTGTTCATCCTGGTCTCTGATGTAAAAATAAGGAGCAATAGTTCTTCAAAACAAATAAGCTGTTTCATCAGAAGCAAAAGGAACAAATTAATCTGCCTGCTGCAGATTTGAGTCTCAGAGATCATGTCCCATTTGGATTCTCTAGTGTTTAGTAAGATGTAAGCTGATGTTGCAGCCTTCACCACCATGGGGGAACTCATTCCTGCCTCTCTCCTCCACCTACCTGTGAACTGTCATGAAACCTGAAGGCACTGTACACCTTTGAAGTCTCTAGCTCCCTGCTGCATTCACCTGAAATTGGTCAACATGTTCAAAAAAATGGAAGGAGGAACAGAGAAAGACACAGATAAACACTATGGCTTTATAAATCTCATTCCTTTGGGTAACCTAGCTAGAAACAAGAGCTAAAAGCAGGGGAATACTTGCAAAAACATCACTGAAACTTAAAGGCAATGCAAAAAAGTGATGTTATGAAAGAAGTTTGCCTATAAATAGTGAGAACAAGACAGCATATGCAAAGAAGAAAACAGAAAAACACAACAGACTACTTGTAAATAAAGTAGTTAGTAAAAAAAGCAACATAAATCCATCATTTCCTCCTCTGAGCTTAAGATCATTCTTCATTTACACCAGTCTTTATTATATTAATCATATTTCATGATACTTGGGTACCATCAGTCTACTGTAAAGTAAAAATTGGACATGCTGTTATTCAACCAAGACACTGCTATTTTTTGCCAAGAGCAAGGAAAGTGCAAGACATACTTGGGTACCATCAGTCTACTGTAAAGTAAAAATTGGACATGCTGTTATTCAACCAAGACACTATTTTTTGCCAAGAGCAAGGAATGTGCAAGACTTTCCAGAAATCCAGTCCCACACATCTTCCTTCACCCAGATGTCCCAGACTTGCAGCAGGAAAGTAAGTCAGTAAAAAGAAAGCAGGCTGCTTCTGTAAGGATTGAAACTATCCCTTTCTTTGTGCAAATGGAATCACTGGCCAGTTTATGCTTCTCTGAAACTTTGCAGAAATGGTGAAATAAATGAGTAACATTTTTAGGCAGATGAAGCAGTTTTAAGTCAACTGGAAGTCCCTGCTTTTGGTGTTTGTAAGACAACCTGATGCAAAAACCAAAACAAATGAAAGCAAAAAAGGCTGTTACTTACCATTTGTCTTCTGTTCTCTACCAGGTGGATGCCAACAATCCCTAGGAAAGATCCAAAGCCAAGCTAAGGCAAAGAACAAAACCAACAGAAACACATGAGGTCAGTGTATTTGTTCACAATCCCAGTGCCTTCCAGTGATAGCTGAGCTGATGTGTCATACAGGTGGGCTGACTGGGGGGTGTAAGGGGAAAGGGTGGAAATTACTCCTGGACATAAATCACATCATGTAAGGGGAATGATCAGAAGTGCAGTTCTTTGATATTTCAGAATAAAATTTGTGGTAAACAGAAGCCTGTATAGATATAACACTTCTAGAACCTGGCTACTGTTACCATAGTCACACAGTTTCCCATAAAGAAAAAATTAAATGAAGAATTAAAAGAAAAGAACACTAAAATTTAGCCCATACCTCACTACTGTGGAAAACTGCAATGCTTTAGGCAACTGGACACAAACTTTTCCTCAAAAAATGGATGGTTTCCTGCCACACAAGTGACACAAGTTCAAACCCTCAGTGTTGTTTGATTTTAATGACTAAACATTATCACACATTCCCCCCAAAAAGTCCTTGCTAAAATGCCAAAAGGGCCAGCACAGTTAGTTTCAACATGGGACATGCAGTACCAACAGCCAGAGGAGAGTGAGGAGGAAGGGATGCTGAAGTAAGCTGCTCTGCAGGCTGTTTCTACCAGCCTGGCAGGAAAAGCCCCCTGTTTATGATGCACCCATGAAGGTTTGGAGAGGTAGAAATTCCTTGGATTAGTGGTTAACACATGGTAGAGCAGCAACAGGTGAGACCAGAGTTTGCTCAGACATTCCCAGGGTCAAGATTCCTCCTGGGCTCCTATGGGTTTGGAGAACAGAGATCTCCTGGGTGCCACACACTTGAGAGGTAGCTGGCCACAGACTCAGAAGCAGCCACACAACAGTGCAGGAGTCAACAGGCTCTCTCCATAAAGCTCCCTTCTAGCCTTGCCTGGCCACACCTTGCTCTCTGGTCACCTCACTCTCCATCCTCTGGCACTTCTACACAGCCCTCTTCACTAGGGTTGCCACTCCTCCCTGCCTAGACACACCTCCAACCCACCCCATGGACAGGGCAGGACAGTTCTTGTAAAGATTCCAAGCCCCTTTCTGGAATGAGGCCCCTGAATCTGGTTCAGAGCCTCTTCTCCAAGCACAAGTTAAGTTTTTAAGGACTCTGTGTCCCAGCCAAGGGCATGAGCAATGCCTGTGAACTCCTTGCTTTTATGCACAACTGCTCACAGAAGGAAGCAAATCTTCTGCAGGCACTCTACTTGCTCAGTATCACAACTGGAATCCATCACTCCCTCTCTAAAAAGCAAATGTAGGGAAAGGAAATTTGCTCCAGAGTGCTTTGGGAAGATTTATGTGAAAGGGAGGCACAAGGGCTAAAAGCAGAGACTCTGAGAGAGTGCACAAGTGCATCCATGCTGACAGCTGAATAAGAAAGACTTGGAACCCTGAGCAAGGACACTCTGTTCAGGGGACAGCAACTTTGGAAATGAAGATGACTACATCAAAAGGATACCTGGTTCCAAGCCCCATTTTTCATCCCAAGGGGAACAATCCCTATAGCCCCATTTAGGGCTGGTGCAGGGAACACAGGGTGGAGTAATGGAACCCAGGTGAAATAAAAATGAGCAAATATGGAACAACAGTAATTAAATCAGGAGCATAAACCTGGATAGAGACCATGATGGAAGTCACAGCATTGCCAAGACTGGTTTAGGGCCATAGGCAATGCTTTTTTTTTTGTCTGATTTTGGCTGTTTGGGCTGGGAACTCTGAGATCCCAGTCCCAGTATGGTGACTGGGACAACTGGACCCTGTAGACTCCTGGTTGAAAGCTTATGAAAAGACTAAATGAAACTAAAGCAAGCAGTAGTCATAGAGAAGTGACATTAAACATTAAATATAAACCATATACTGCCTTAAACACATTTGTAGGTGTTTGCAAGGTAGAGAGTCATCCTGCATGTTTTTTAAGACCAAACCACCTTACTTGAGGTCAGTGGAGATTTAGATTTCAACTACTAGCCTGAAGTTAATACTGTACTACTGAATTCTACTATAACTAGACCTTATTTTTAATTGTAATTAACACTGTCTGTCCTCATCATCTGTCTTTTCGTTGAGCCCAAGGGTGAAATGTGTAGTGCCAAATTCACTCCCTTAGCTTTAGGGATGTACAAGTTTGATGTCGGTGCTCTGTTGGCTTTCTAGGCTCCCTCTACTGTCAGCAGAAAAGAGAAGCACCTCTGACAATGAGGCAGAAACCAGCAGTGCTGTCACACACCTCTGACTAGGCTTCTGGAAAGATATCATGCAAGATTTGTATAGGACCTTAATTCTCTGCTAAATGTTTGGGATATTTAATGTATTGATGAAGTTTACACTAACAATTGTCCATGGCTCTTTCTCAACTACTTCAATAATCTACCACAAAAAGAAATCTGAATTTTATGAAAATTATTCAGCTCAAACAATCTTATGAAGGGGGAAATGGTTAATAAAAAGTTTTGTTTCCAAAGTGTTCCAACAAATTCTATCTATTCTATCTGCTTATTAATTTATCCAAGATTTTAAAACCTCATATTTTAGTAGATGATATTTCTCAGCTCTGGGAATAGACATTGTGCTATTCCTAAAAGAAACTAAATGCTGAAATAGCCTGTTCTGTGCACATGGTTTTATTACTTATTACACTTCTTAAAGACAACAATTTAAAACTGAAACTTCTTTTGGAAGAATGAATGCAGATGATGCAGTCTCCTAAAAGAGTTTAATTCAATTTATGGAAAAAGAAGAGACCTTTATCAGTGTTAATCTATTTTAGCTTGATGAAAGGAAAATTCATTCATTTAAGGTTTTATTCTTGGAACTACTTTTTATTCTATTTTTAAAACACCACTCCTTATAGATCATTATCCCCTCATTTTCTTTCCAAAAGACCTGTTCTCAGCATGACACTAAGATGTAAGAGGACTTGCTTAGGAGGAACAGTTCTGACACAGAAATTATTAATGGCAATGCCAAAGGTATGCACAGTATTAAAAGAGATATATCCCTCTCCTCTGGGCTTTTCATTCCCCAGAGAACAAGAAATAATGGTACCTTACAACATATTTGGGTAGTGGTGGAACCACAGAGCTAAGCAGATAACTCTAACATGGGGTTCTCTCTTTGCCTTGCACCCTCTGCCTCCTCTTGGCTGGCTTGGGGACACCAAATGAGCCAGATGGGTCTTTCTCTATTTGCTGCCTCTATAAAACTCAGCTCAAGTATTTAAAAAGAAAAATTTTGATTCCAGGGGTTTCCACACTTTTGGATATGACTGATCCCTTCTTTGAAGGCAAGAAAGGGCCATGGAGAAGCTTCCACAGGACTTGCCCTACGATGGACCCAGCAGAATTCCTGGCACACAGACAAGAGAGTGGAAGGTCTCTTTCTGCTGTCAAAGTAGTAAACCTCTAAAAGGTCATTTAAATCTATCCCATGCCTTCTGCCCAGTCACCTACACAGCCACATTTAACAGAGATCAGTGGGAAGTCAAGCCCAGGTTCTCACCTAGCTCCCCAAGCTCAGCACACTGCTGTGCAGTGCAACCTTGACCCCCCTCTTGCCCCCTAAGAGCCTCCTTTTGGGGCACTCCAGAAAAACAAGATCCTCTTCTGAAATATCTCAAACAGGTTTCTTTACTCACAACAATGCCAGGGTAGTAGCCTCCCACAGTAACATTTTCTGTCCTTGTGGTAGCTGCCAGGCCTATGGTCAGGATGAAAACAGACACCACCAGCAGAGAGACTGTGAACCAAAGAGAAGTCTTCTTCCTTTTGGCAAACTGTCCTGTAGGGAGTGGGGAAAAAGGGAAAAAAAGAGAGAGCTCTGCATCACAATCAGGGTAGAACAGATACAAAATTACAGGAGGTTTTCTTTTGTGAATATTTTGTTTTGTTAACTCGTTGTAGACAACACAGGGGATTAAAAAGCAGAGTTAGCTAGAGCTCAGCACAGTTTAATGCACACACATTGGGTACAGGCATGAGATGAGTCTTTATTAAGCTGAACTGAAAGTCTGTGCCAATGATAATTATGTCTTGTCTTCAGTAATGTTTAGAATTAATTGTTGCTCACATCCATCAGTCAGATCTTGAAGGCCTTAAATGCTCACCTACATGAAGTGCCAGTTTGAATTTACCTGGACAGAACACAAAAATTTGGATTTCCAACCAGATCAGGAGCAGCTCTGCAGGTTCTCATGAAAACAAACACACTCTTCATCTCTTCCAGGGCAAGGAAACCCATCTGTACCTCTGAGGCAAAGCTGTCCAGGTCATGATCTATGGGACTACCTTTTAAACAGCAGCTGCTCACTGAAATACATTCAGTCTCACTGGGTTTTGGATTCAGACACCCAAAAGTGGAAACTGGCAGTCTTTTAGAATGAGATGCAAGGAACTTTAATGAAGACAAGCATCATCTATTGAGCTTACACAAGTCTCATCACCTGCATGTCCAAATTCTCCCTGCTAAAGATCATGGAATAACTCATAAAACTCCCCAGACATCTCTTCTCCAGCCTGTGCCCCAGCTATCTGCCTCTGGCAACCTCCTGGAGGGTCACAGGGGATACACAAACAGAGGGGTTCTTCCTTTTCTTTCAGTGAAGCCAGTTCCCATGGCCAAGAGAGGAAAGCAGACTTCAGACTTACAACTCCACAGATCATAACTAAAATGATTCATTCCATATATCTACTGGATTTAAAATATCTGATGTCCTTGCCTCATTCTATCATCTTTGAAAAGTCATGGAGATTGGGAAAGCCCCAATAACTGAGGAAAGGCAACTCCTCCACCTGTCTTTAAAAAAAGCCAAAAATGATGATTTGGGGAACTACAAGCCAACCAATTTCACATTGGTTCCAGGGAGGCTGGGACCAAAAATATGAGGCAAATCCTTTCCTGTGACATTTCTGGGCATGTAAGGAAGAGGTGATTGGCAACAATCAGCATGGTTTTATCAGAGCCAAATCATATCTGACAAACCTAAGTGCCTGCTAGGACAAAATGAGTGGACTTGTGGAGCAGCAGATGTCCTTTACTTTAAATCTAGCAAGAGTTTGAACTTAGTATTCCACAACATTCTCATAACTCAGTTGGGATGTCATGGCTTGGATGGGTGGACAAGCAAATGGTTAAAAAACTCATTGTTAGTAACCATGTGCAAAAAGGACAGGCAGGAGTTTGACTCCCCAGACTGAGCTTGCTGGAAAATGTCTTAAGAAAACCATGTTTTTATTTGTAATTAGAGATGTGGATTTAGAGAGAGAAAACAGAATAGGATGGCATTATTTATAGGGTCATTTTCTGGACTGAGCTACATTTTAACTTTGATGTTTCCTCATGCCAGAAGGTATTTATGTATGTGACACCCTTCAATCCTCACATTCATGGATCTTTTACCACCTGCATCTCAAACCAGAGGCAAATATCCAACCACATCTTTTCTTTTTCATACTCCAGTTTGGAAACTCTCCTGTCACATTAATAAAAATCTTTACTGTATCTATCAAAATATGTCTAATTACAAGTGTATAAGTCACCAGCATATTGTGAAGGCTAATTAATACTTGCAAAGCAGCATAATATCTCTAGATGAAGCAGGGTACTGCTGCAAAGGGTTACTACTGTTAGGTCCCTTTTGCTATTTTGGTCATGTTGGCTCCCAAGACTTTTTGAGTCTTTGTTTACTGTTGTTTGTAGCAGTTGCCATGCAGTTTTTTTGGATCTGTTTTTAATGTACCTACCAACCCAAAAAAAAAAAAGCCAGAGTGTTCTCTCAGGAGCCCTGGGCCCAGCCTTCATCCCTGACCCTCTTTGTGGCCAAACATAGACAAGAAGAGCAGTTAAATTAAGAGCAGAGGAAATGTCACTGTCAGTATTCCTATGCTGAATTCTCTTCCAACATTGATGTTCCTGTCGTGCAGGAAACAGTTAACACAGGCTACTGACTTTCCAATTTTGCAATCCTGAAGTGACTCTCAATAATTTTGACATTTATTTTGACTTCTTTAACAATGATTCAGTGTGAACAGTGTAAATTCTTAGCCTGGACCTTACTCCAGTTTAGTTACAGCTTCATATTCTTATGTCTAGAATACCAAAAATAAAGTGTATAGAAAGAAATCTTCCTGTCATATCTTTATTAGCAGTAGCTTGAGGCTGGGGTCAACAGAGGGTGTGAACAGGTTATTACTTTCTACTGGCAATATTCTTCAGCAGTTTTGGCTAGTGAAGTATTAACTGAGTTCTGATATTGCAGCAATGGGCACTAAAAACTGAGAGAGAAATCAGAGAAGTAATGCTGCTTCCCATCCCTGGCAGAGACTTGCACTGGGCATGAAGTGGAACAGTCCCAGAAACACTCTCTGCTTGGCTTGCTAAACATCTGTCAGGCAAAATATTTGCTTGAGCCACTCAGCCCTGCAACCCCAATGGGAGGAAAGAGAATGTCTTGAGGACAA